GGCCAGTCCCATGCCTTGCCCTGGAGCAGGGGAAATGTGAGCACAGGTGAGACTGGGACGAGGGCTGGAAATTTCCACCAGTGTTTGCTTTAAGCGATTTGCTTGGTATGGAGGAAAAAAACAGTAAGAGGCACTCTTACTTTATTCTTTTCTATCCAACCTTTCTCCTGTGTGTGCTCTTATCTGGAACTCATCCCCAAAATGATGGCTCCCAAAGCTTTCAAAGCCATGAAGCTGCTAGTTTTGTGCCCAAGGCAAGACAGACTCTTCTACTAGAATTATAAATTTTTCCCACTTTCTCCTGTTTTCTTCTGGATCATCAGGAAACGCAAGCAGCATCCTGCTAACGAGGGCAGAGGTTTGTGTAAGAGATGGGTTCAGCACTGCTACCTTGCACCAGCTGAGGCAGCTCAGGCTCCGGCATTTTCAGACACCACAATAGTCAAGGTCTGCTTCTGACCACATTTAACATCACTGTGGAAATTCTGGTTATAAATCTTTCTTTAAATTCCAATACTAGCACAATTTCTAATGACAGCCTGCAAAAACAAGAAAAAGTTGGCAAATGCTAATGGTCCCAGTGGCATTAGAGCACCATGGATAAAGCTATGTTTTGCAAAGCTTTACCATAAATATAATCCACAAATGCTCCTTTTTCCTCTCAACACCTACTGCATCCATGGCATGTTACCTGTGATGGTACTGTTGGGTGGAAATTTTGCTGGCACATGGGATGTGGAGTTTCCAAAGCAGACAATAGGATACTGGGACAAAGTCCCTTTAAGAAGAGCTATTTTGGTATGTGCTGTTCTCACCAAGCTTCCCCTTGAGGAGGAGCTTTCTTGAAAGAAAAGCATTTCGCAAAAGGTGTTACTGTTCCTCATTAAGTGTCTTTTGGGTCATTCAATGTAAATTTGATGCTGAACAGGAGAGGTTCTTGGAGACACCACCTCCTACCAACCCCTGGCCACAAAGCTTTCTCCAAGAAGGACCACCTGACGTGATGAAAGCAGCAGTGCTGTTTGTTTCTTCTCCTGTGCATACAATGGTGAGATTGAATATTCGGCTCTGGTTTAACTGCTGCACAAGTAAATAGCCTGAACACTTAATTACTGCAGTACATTGACCTGGAAAGCAACAAGAGCTGTTTTCCTGGCTGCTACACCATCAACTTTGCAATAAAAAGCACTGGAGAAGAGCAGGGAATCTGGATGAGGACTGGGAAGTAACAGTGAATTTGTCTCTCTGCACATCCAAGCACTTCCAGAACAACCAAAAACCAGCAATAGAGCCTCCAAATCCCCATCAGCCTCCATAGTGCTGCTATACCTGGCTCACTTCCACCTTCTTTGTAGGAAAAAAACCTCTTGTATCCACACAATGCTCCATAGACTCACCAAACACTAGCACCAAGAAAGAGAAGCTTGATGTCCCCATCCTCTTATAACCATGATGGGTATGTTCCTCAGTTGACATCAATCAGCCTAACCAGGAACTTTGGTCCTCAGCTTCACCTGGGGCATCCCTAAAACCTGTGGAAAGGAAGAGTCAAGCTTCTCTGCCAGCTGGGGGGTGTTTGCAGATTAGGCAGAGCCCTGTTGGCAGCTGAGTTCCCACACAAGTTGTGCTGAAAACGTCTGTACACAATGCAGAAAAAATGATGACTCTATGTGCTCCGATGTAAAAGTAACACCCCATTAGAGAGTCTGGGGCTTCAGTGCTCCCAGCAGAAATTAAACTATAACTTTCTATTTTCCATGCAAAAAAAATCAAAAAAGAACAAACTTTTTGTTTGTTTGCTTTGGAAAGCAACTGCTTGGGTGAGCAATGATTTTATTGTGCTATTAATACAATCATAAACATGAACAACATGTGTTTATAGGCTCAAGTGCTTCATTACTCACTCGCTGACTTGGTAAAAATCACCGTGGCATCAGTATAAAGTGCAAAATGGAGCAGATCACTGTAGTTGTGTTGTAAAATCATCTGGGCAGGTGACCTTTGAACAAAGGCAATTGATAGCTCCAAGGCAGCTGTACAACAACAGTGAAGATAATAGTTGTCCACAAGCCACCAGACCTGTAGGAGTGCAAATACACACCATGCCTGGGGAGAACACCAAAGGAACTGGGAAAGGTTTGGGAACAAGAAGTCAATTAGTCTCTGAAGTTTGTTTGTGACTCAGCCTTTTTTGGGGATGGGGCAGGGAGCGGTGACTCTGGTCACAGGAGGTGGCGGTGGTGCTGTTGGCACAGCTGTCTGGCCAAAAGCAGCTCCAGGGCAGAAGAGCGGGTGTCCTGTGGAAGTCCATAACCTCCAGATCAACTGGTGGGTCTGCTTCTCACAGACCTCAGTTTTGGCTCTGATCTCCTCCATTGATGCCACCCCAACCATTCAAAATCCTGCAAACATGCAGGCTAAGCTGGGCTGTGCCACCAGGCTCCCAGAGGCTGTAGGAGCAGGATTGAGGATGTAGCAGGAGCTGGGAAGACCCAAACTTTCCTGTGGTTTTTGTTCACACCTATTGGGGAAAATGCTCCTCTTTGCCATGTAATGAGGAGTACAAAGGGACGTGGACCCTCTAAGGAAGGTCTTCAAAACAGCAGGTTGGGAAGGCAATGGCAGGAAGGTGCATGGGTCCCCCTGGATATGGCTGCTGCAGGGATGGCTTCAGTCTTGGGGGTGGGAGCGAAAGATTGGAAGACACCCCCAAGAAATGAAAAACCAGCGTTGTGGATGATGCCGTCCAGTGAGTGCAGGGAGTGAGTAAGAAGGAAAATTACATACATCCCAGCCATTTAACTTCTTGTCCCTCTGCCTCATTTCGTCAGCCACCAGCCCCCGGAGCATCCCGACGCCCGGTCGATGGTTACCAACAGGCAATAAATAAAACCTCTGGAGCCACTGGTGTCAACATCTTGGCATTGTTTGGGTCTTCTTGTTTGCCTTTAAAATAACTCTCTCTCTCAGGGTCACGCAGACGAAAAAGCGAGGACTCCTTGCCATCATCCATAGAAATCATCTTGCCACAACTTGTGTTGCGCTGCCTTTTTATTGCTTTATGTCACTCATTTTCCTGACTCCCGGAGGCGCAGTTTGGGCTCGATTTGGGGACGGTGTCACCCCGCCAGCCCCATGCTGCTGGCTTATCTGCTGCAGGGCTGTGCCTGGCTCTGCTGTGGATGTTGGCAAGCCAGAGAGTGGAAAAACAAACGGTGGAGATGTGGATCCATTGTGAGAGCACTGCCGTGCAAACACAGTGTGCTGCCACCGAGCCTGGCGCGGACGGGATGTCCCTCCATGACAGCCCTTGCCTCAGCACTGGATCTTGGCATGGTGCAAGCTATTAGTGAAGCTCTGAAGACACAAGAAATACTCCTCCAAAGACAGTTTTCATCCATGGGCTTTGATAAATGTGTGGTTTGAACCCCTCCATGCCAGGGGGCTACATTTATGGGCGAGGCACTGAACTATGGCAGCACTGGAGGGGACCAATGCTTCCCAGTGCCTTGAGCATCTCCTGTCCTCTAGCAAGGTTTGCATGGTGGAAAGCATCATTCTCCATCTCAGTCGAGTTGCGACTTGACGTCAGATTTCACTCTCCCTGATCATCTTTAGCTTGTTGTTTAGAACAAAAATCAAGTGATCCATCTCTCCTGACAAGAGGAAGAGTTGCTCCAGGAAGCCCTGGACAGGTCAACTTCTATATTAAGGAACTATTACTTGATGGCTTCCTGGCCATAAATAGCTGTCCAGCCAGGCTGGGGATTTTATTTAGCACTAACAAATAAAGCAGGCCATAGAGGTAACTTCATGACCTTGCTCCCCCTTCATTTCCCACCCATCTCTCTTCCTCAGGATGGTCTTCTCCTCACCCCCAGGCTCCTCCAGGACCCCCTTGCAAGCCCCCAGCAAAGCACATCTCCCCATCACCCACCTCCCTCCAAGAAGCTGTAGAAACGTGCTGTTGCCAGCTTTCAAAAATGTGATGTGGGTTTTGCATCACTGATGATCTTTTGCTAAAGCTCAGCTCCAAGAAATTATTTTCTACTTGGCTTTCGACGAAATAATTAAAAAGGAATCTTTGCCCTGCATGGCTGAAAGCTGGAAATACTCCATTCAAAATATCCCCCAAACTGGATGCAAAAAAATATATACCTCCAACACATCCTTTATTTTTCAGTACCGCAAACCTTTCTCTTAACTTTTGGAGGACCAACTTCTGATTTTTGAATGCTCAGAGTCGGCAACATCAAAACCAATCAGGAAATACAAAACTAAACCAGCATTTCAGTATCCTTTTATTATTGGGAGGTTTTGACCATTTTTGTCATGTTTGCCTAAAATAATAATAAAAAAATCTTTGTTTGGAGCTGGAAAGGGAAGAGCAGCGTGTTTATTTCATGTATGACTCATCAGCTCAGTGTTGATATGCTAAACGCTTCAGAAGCTAACACTCTATAGAGATGATCATTTTTAATATAAAACAGTAAATGTTTAAAACAACCGTTGCTTTTTTTTATTTTCCTCTTTTCTTCCTGTTTTGGCCAATAAAACATAAAGGAGGCCACACAGTTTACATTTTAATAAAATTAAGTTATTTGGTGCCGTGTTATTACAGTCTTTATTGGAAAGTGGAATAAATTGCACACAGAGGAGTCATAGGAGGGAGAAATCACTGCGAATAAACATAGATTCTGGGATGCATTTATTTGCTGGTTTCATCTCAAAGGAGGAAGGCTTTCCTCAGGAAAACAGAGGCAGCCTCAAGGCTCCCCTGGGTCTCTCCAGCTGAGGAGGAGCTTTCTGGGGAGCCAGTGCCACAGCAGGGCCATCCTGGACAAATCCAGCCAGCATTTTCCACACATGTCCTCCAAGAGAAACCCGTCCTGTGGCCGTGGCTTGACATCCCGCAGTCCTGAAGCGCTGAGGCAGCCCATCCTCCTGCCTGTCGGCCAGCCGAAAACGTTGGTCCCGAGGCTTTTTTTGCTGGAGGTTGGGGGTTTCTAGGCAAGGGCCAGGGCACACCAGGAGTCCTGCCGGAGCGGCACGCTCAACCCGGGCTGCGGGGCCATGGTGTTGGGGGAGAAGGTGTAGTCTTCAGGTTCAAATTTGAACTCGCTGTGGCCGCCAGCCAGCGCCTCATCTGACTGACTCTGTGCCTGCCCAGGGAAGGGAAGCAGAAAGTCATTAGAAAGCCTGTTATTAGTCAATGGGTTCACTCTCACTCTCATCATAACATGATGGTAGGACTTGGATGGATTATGGACATGGTGGCTTTCCACTGATGCTACTGCTGCCCTTCAGAGCAGCCCGGGGCTGGGCAGGACGGGTGTTCTATCCCCAGCAAGCACAGGGACCCAGTGGGAAGAATGCATCCCAAGGCCCATCTGTATTTATTTATTGACTAAACATGTCCAGTTTGGAGATCTCTAGGCACGTCTATATTTTTTAAGAGCACAGCACAAAGTGGATTTATCAGTTTCAGCCAAAAAAACCCCTCTTCCCTACGGCACAGCTGGCGGTGCATCAGGCACTCCAGCGTTGGAACTGAGCTTCCCCTCAGTACACGTATGTCCAGCTTGGGGTGGGCTTAGACCCAGCATAAAGATAGTGCACAAAATTTTGATGTGTGGGTTGGTTTAGAGCCATTTTTAACTCTGCCAATACAAAATAGCGACCCACCCCAAAGAAATCCTGGGGCCAGAAGTACAGCCTTGCAATCAGGGGTCTCCAGGCAACATTACAGCTCTGTGAGCACTTCAGTGCAGATAACGTATGCCCAGGGAGTCTTTTCTTGGGAGCTACAGAGATTTCCACCCTGGGATGATCCCACCAACTCAACAGGGTTGTAACTCCCAGGATTTCGTGGCAGGAGATGGGAAATAAACCCAGCTCCACACTGAAGCTGGTTCCCTGCCTCTGTAGCAGCAGGACTTGGACCTCCTGGCTTCTCGCTGTAAGGCAGAGGAGCCGATGGGGAGCCAATGGGCGGGAGGGGAGCCGATGGGGAGCCAATGGCCTGGAGCCTTTCCCAGTCAACATCATCTTGGCTCTCACTCCCCAGTTTTCTCAGTCTAAGGCAGTCCATCAAGCTGGTGGCACCCAATGTAAAGAACTAATTGTTTAACTTCATCAAGGCCCGCCCCGGTCAGTGACTACTGAGGCGCATGGAGCACCCACCCCAGCAGGCAATGCCCACAGGCCCCTGTGCCTTACCTGGGACACCGACACAATGGTTTGTCCAGGATACTGCGGGGTCACGCTGGGCTCTGACTTTAAAGTGACCGTGCTGTCTGAGTTAGTAATGGAAGAAGGGGAGTTGGTGGCCGAAGTTGTAGACCCTGAAAGACAATCAGTACAGGATGGTGAAGCAACATAGCACAAATCTGCTCTTAGGCATATTTATATTTCAATGGCTACCATCACATCTCACGGCACAACTCCAGTGTTCTCTTTGTCCACTGCATCTCTGTCACAGAATCACAGAATCTCAGGAGTTGGAAGGGACCTCGAAAGATCATCCAGTCCAACTCCCCTGCCAGAGCAGCATCACCTAAACTAGGTCACACAGGAACGCATCCAGGTTGGCCTTGAATGTGTCCAGAGAAGGAGACTCCATCAGCTTTGTATTTGGCTGTCAAGATGCTGAGGGAGGGGCACCCTTTCACAGCCTGGCAGTGCTGGTCCTGGTACAGGCCAGATGGGCTAATGTTGACTGAGTCATGATACCTTCCCCTCAACTCTTTAATACACCATTTCCAGCCTTTTCCGCCCCCCGCATTACTCAACATAGCCCAAATCTGCTTGAACACAAGCACTGTTGGGCTGGAGCTGGGTGCCCACAGAGCAGAGGCACCTCACGTGACTATAACAGCAGTGAGATTTCCCACCCAGCATCCTCCTTCCACATGAGATCTATGCATAATAAATACAGGCCCTACAGCTAAAGCAATCATCAAGGTAAAAAAAATAAAAATCACAATTTCTAATTGTCATGATTTCTTGTAGAAGACACGTTGAGGTGATCTGTGCCCCAAGCACCTGTGATGGATCATAGCAGCACTGTACCTGTTGAGGTTTTGCCTTTGGTAATGTTTTTAGGCTTCCTTTTCCTCGTCTGGATGCTTTCCTTTTTCATGGCCAGAGGTCGTGGTACCTTGACATTCATAAAGTTTGAAATCATTAATATTGTATTTTACTCAGCTCCTATCCACACACGTGTTGCTCTCCTATTTAATTTCTATAGCTCATGCGAAGCACCTAAAGTCCTTGTCCTTCACTAAGTGCTATTTTTCTCTGCAACAGGCCTTGGCTGGAAGATGTATAAGGCTAATAGCTAGGCTTTCCCACAAATTTTGTTTTTTCCTTTATTTCCTATTTTCCTTTTCCTGATTTATTGGTGACCCTTATGACAGGGCTCTATTAAATTACACTGACAGACTGAGAGCCTACGTGGCTCAGAGGAAACGGTCATGGGATAGAGAGACTTTAACCTTTATGACAGAAGTTTGAAGAGGCCTGTATGAAGTCTCCTCTTTGGCTGATGGACGTGTTACCAACAGTTCCCATCCTCTGTGGGTAAATGTTATCAGCCAGCCTCCATGTGGACTCCTCAGCATCCTTCACACATTCTTGATTACCACGTCTAGAAGAAATATGCTCCTTAACTCCAGTCTGGGTTTGGGGAGCTTCAGTCTCCAGTTACTGGAGCCTGGTAACCTTTCTTTTTGGGGAGTAACTTGGCAAACAACTTCTAAAAGAGAAAAATCTCTCCTCTATGCAGGCATCTCCTGAGAGCGTTCCAGTACCCTCTTAGACTTATTCTGGAGAGTCTCAGAAGATTGAGTTTTTCCCTGTTCATGAGACAGGACTGAGTTAGGGCTTTTCTACGTCCAGTCTAGAGGCTGGTCCCTCCAGACCTGATATCCTGGCCCTGCTAAGCAGTGATCCCAGCACCCAAAGGGTCCCTCCCCGTGCGGATGTGGTCCTCACCCCATGGAGCTTCATGTACAACCCGCAGGCGTTGCAGACGGGCTCCCCTTCGGCGTTCCTTCTCCAGAGGGTGGTATTGGTTGTGTGGCAGTTAGTGCAACATAGGCCAGCACGTCTAGATGAAGACTTGAAAACAAGCAAACAAACACATGAATGCACACATAAGAATGATTAATTGGGATGATTAATTAATTCTTTCATATAACAATAAAAATCTCCATTACACTGATTTCCTGGAAAATGTAAAACACACACAATAGCCAGATTCAGACCAATGAAATTACATTCAAATGAGATCTCTCTAATTTGCAGGTGCTTTTTTTCTTGAGCTTGATGAACCTGGCAAATACCCTTGCAACCCATTTCACAAACTTCCAACTAGCCTACTGGAAGTGATCAGGACTCAGCACATGAATACACACATAAGAATGATTAATTGGGAAGTTTTCTTTCATATAACATTAAAAATCTCCACTACACTGATTTCCTGGAAAATGTAAAACACACACAATAGCCAGATTCAGACCAATGAAATTACATTCAAATGAGATCTCTCTAATTTGCAGGTGCTTTTTTTCTTGAGCTTGATGAACCTGGCAAATACCCTTGCAACCCATTTCACAAACTTCCAACTAGCCTACTGGAAGTGATCAGGACTCAGAGCACAGAGAACTTTCCTCTAGGAGATCCACTTGGATGGAGCAGGAGACGGAAAATGCCAGCCAGGCTTTAAGCACACGAAGAAAACTGCTCATGCTTCAACTGAAACCTTCTTCCATTTTTCTGCACTCAGATCTACCACTAAAGTTAGCAACATCCCAATTAATCTTTGGTTTAAGACAACTGGAATCAATTGGCTGAACTGAGCAGAACCAAACTGATCTGGCCCATGATGTGACCAGGGAGGTTATTCTTTGCACGTCTCACAGATAATCTGTTCTCTTGCAGGCTGCAAAAACACCGTGCAAATGTTAATTAATGACATATTTTGTGAGTGTGGTGATTGCTGGCTCTGACACATTAATACTTCCAAATGGAGAAGGAAAATATTCTGGCAGAAGCAGCAAACTCATTTCTCACAACTGTGTTCTGAGCCACTGGAAAATTCACAAGTCTCTGTCTATGGACGTGTCAGCTCAATCCACATTTCATTTTGGAAGTCTCTTAACACTAGGTATTGAAAATACTTTAATAAAATACTTCACTAAGTGTAAGATACCAGTGACATAAGTAATATCACAGACTCTTCACATTGAGGTGCTTGAATACATTCTTCAGCCTTGAGAAAAAATGGCTTTGATTCCTTTCAAAGGCAGACGATAGGTGATGCAGGCAATAAAGAAGTCCCCGTTTGTTTATTCTTCCATTATTGCTTGATATCACAACTAAGCACTGTGACGAATGAAGTGGGAAGAGTAGGATTTAAAATGAAATGTTTTTACAAGCTTAGCAATGAAATAAAGATCAGCTTTGAGTTTCAAGGGACACAAGTGACATGCTCAAGCTTTGATTCACTTGTTGCTCAGCAAAGAGGTCTTAGCAACTATTTGCAAATAACAGCATTGCTTTGGAAATTATTTCACTTTCAAGAAATAACCAGGCAAAAATAAAAATATACTGAGGTGTGAGCTGACAAGCCTGGCACAGAGGAGGGGAGAGCAATTCTTGTCCCTAATATGGAACCACTCATCCCTGCAACCAGGAGCGACCCAGTGCCGATGGGAGCAGAGGGAGGTGCTGAGCACCCAATGGGTGTAAGGGGCTTTGGGGTCCAGCTCCTACTATGGGTGCAGAGGGGAATTTGGAGACACTCAGCCGGGGGGTAACTGTGCCCGGCATGGGCTGGTGAGATTTGTCATCGCCTGCAGACGGAGGAAGGCCAACGCAAAGCCCGTTGGAAAGCCCCGAGATTTCTGGGCCACCGCGGGTCCCTGGGAGGGAGGGACACGCTGGCCCCATTTTGTACAACGCTTTGTCTGCAACTTGCAGACGAGGTGGCAACAAGACCTGTGACTCTGGTGGCCCAAGGATGATGCCAGCCCCCCCTGCCTGCACTGCATCGTGGTCTGCTCACAGTCTTTCTGCTGGGGCAGTAGCAGGTGCCTCGCACATTTCCTGCACATCACCCTGTGGGCTGCCTCCTCCTTGCACAGAAAACCATCCTCCTTGACCAAATAATATTTAAACTCCATGAGAACCTGGCCCTGCACCACAACCTGCCAGCTTAGCACGAAAGAGACAGTCAAGGCTGCTGTTGCTCACTGAAGGACGAGGGTACAATACGTTATTGCTGGTTTCCCAGCAGTTCTCTTAAAAGAAAAGGCATTTCTGCCTGCCTCCACCCAGCTGCCTTTGTACCATTCTGACCTTGTCTAGGAAGTTGTTGACTTCAACATTGTGCTCCAGTGTTTATTTATACAAATGCAGTATACACTCAAACAAAAACTCTTCATGGACTGGGCTTGACAGGCAAGAGCTGCTGATAAGCCCAAGGAATGGTGAGTTGGTGCCTATCGAACCAACTGTGTGTGAGTGCTGCTTGGAGAGCCAGCAAGGCAGGTCCTTGCAAGGGAGCCCAAAGCCATCAGGGACTTTGCTTCACCTCCTTTTCAAAGGTGGAAATGAAACCACAGGGTTTCACAGGAAAAAAAGAAGCCTCAGGTCCCAGATTTAGTCTATGGTCCTCTATCTCCCTCGCCAGCAGGATGGAGGGGACCTGGTGTTGATGGGAAAGACATTGCAGCAAAGCATGTGGAGATACCAGAGCTCTGCTCCTGAAAGTGGGCAGGTTTGACACTGCTTGGCTCTAGGGTCCAATTAGATTGTACCAGGGCTGTGATCAGTCCCATCCCTGCCTTCCCCTGAAGTGTCATCAAACTCACTATGCACTGCAAACTGCAAAAAAATGACAGGTTAAAAAAACACCTCCCGAACTAAGCCAGCAAAACTCGACGTTAGGTTGGTCTTTCACCCCAGGGTGGTGTGGGAGCTGCTCTGCTCCTAATATGTGGGAATTGGATGTGCAAGGATGGAGCCCCCCACCTCCACCGGCTGCTCCAGGATGGTAAAAGTGATTTGGCTTTCAGGACTGGGTCTATGGGATCATCCTGTGAAATGCGCCAAGAAACTTTGGCTAGAGAAGGTACTGCCTCAAATAAAGTGCTGCTTCCATCCTCCCCTAAGATAAATCCTTTCTGCTGAAAGCCACAGAGCTTTGAATCCAGACGCAGGCTGTAGCAAAGCGGCTGTCCGTGCTGTGTGGAGGATGTTGTCCTTATCTCAAAAAATAACCCCAAACAACAAAAAACCTGCAAACTACACCACTACTGCTCACCCTCTCCCACGCAGAAGCAGGCCGAGCGCTACCGAGCTGCAGGACGCAATTCCCGCAGTGTTATCTGGGCCACGTTGCGCTCTCCAGGGCATTCAGTGGGATTCTGCTTTGTGAAAACAGAAGTCAGAATAACTCCCAGCACGGAGTCTACTGACAGGACAAAGGTCGTAATGTAAAGGACAAAAGCAACCATTTTTCCGCCCCTTGTGTGTGTTTCACTGCATTGTGAAAGAGCCGATTTCATCGTTCCTAGAGCCACGGTGTGTCACCGCCTTCACCGCTCTGCTCCCACCCAGCTGAGATGGGTGAGGTTGTGAGCAGGGAAGAAGTCCCCTGCCATGGAAATGGTTCAGGGGAAGAGAAATCCCACATTACAAAGGTGCAGGTCGCTCCCTCGGTGGTGAATTTGCCAAGTACACCTGGCACAATCTTGGCCATCATTAATGGATCCCTCTTCCTCTGATGGGGCAGAACTTGTTGTAAAATGACATTTCAAACTCTTGGGAAAATCCAAGGATTTGAAATGTTTCCTTCCGAAGTCAGGATGGAAAGTCAAAATTGCAGCCCCTTTTTTAATCCATAAAACAAAATTCCCTCAGGTAGAATAATAACAAAAAAGTTTGGAAGTGTGTTGATAATTCCTAGCAAGATTTGCTTGTCTCCGGGAAATGATCTGAATTCTGTGAACCAGCATTCTCCAACAGAAAACTTTGCAGAAATATTCACCAAAAAATGTGTCCCGGGTGCTGTGTATGGGGCTGTGGCAGCAGTGACAGAGGAGCAGGCAGGGAGCACGAGGTCCCTGGTTGGGCACAGGCAACGTAAGGCTGGCTCCCTTCCTGCACGCTGAAATAAAATACTTGATTAACAACGAGACGTCTCCAATTCCCTTGGGGAAAAGCTGTTCAAAAAAATACTGGAAATTCATCCAGTGCCACACTTTGATGCCAGTCTGAAATGCGGAGTTGGATTTAGACTGGTTTGCACCTCTGTCCCTATGCATGGATCGTATCTGCTCTGGAGGAATCGGCAGCGTAACTCTGAGATTTGCAGCACAGCAGCGACCCGAGCTCGCAGCCGGGGTGCGGGTTTAAAGTCACTGCATTAAAGGAGACCAGGAAGGTTTTGGTGAGAGAGGCAAATTCTGTTGGAGAATGCTAAATGTTTCATGGAAATGCCTCGATTTTGATGTGATGTACAAACCAGGGCGATTTTCCACAGAGCCACTGCTCATTTCATTTTGCAAATGCAGAGCCACTTTTCTGGGGTCAGAATCAGAATGAAACATCTTGCTCAATCTCAATTTTTAAAATAGTTTTCTTATGCAGAAACTAATCACTGTTGGGTTATTGCTAATGATTTGTTTTGCAACTCAAAAAAAAATAACTAGGTGAATACAGCCCGAGTGAAAGCAAAAGCAGCTCCCAGCTGCTCCCCACTACGGCTCCAACAAACATCCTGTTTGTAATGACGGCTTCTGATGACAGCCTCTGAAACCAAAACTGCTACCACCAAATTTAAACATCCCAAAGCGACTCTACAACAAAAAAAAAAGGAGGTGCCTTTCCTCTCTCACGATGCGATCCCAATTGGAGGAAGCCCAGTATCACATTGCAGGGGGGGAGAATTAATGCTTTAACCTGTAGAGAAAGTGGGAATTGCTAAACTCCAAATTTCCTCCTTGGTGGGTGGGGGGAAGCAGTGGGGGAACTGGGCCCCAACCTCCTCCCTGCCAGCTCAGGATCAGCCCTGCTCATCTACCCTGCCTACACCACGTGTGTCTGCATGAAGAACTAGGAAATTATTATTATTATTATTATTATTATAGAATAAAAAGCACCGAGCCCACTGTGTGCAGGGCTGATCGGCCACTGCGTGGCTGCGTTGCAGCCCCTCCATGCAGCCCCAGGACCCCTCCGGTCCCTGCTGCCCCATCTCCATCTAGGCAGCAATCCCTCCAGCTTCACTACTCCGGCCCCAAGCCAGCTCTGCACCACAACAAGGAGCTCCTGCCAGTGCTGATGGCATTTTCTTTGCAGAAGAACCAAGGGTCAAACAGGCCCTAATAAAAGTATGGAGATCCTGACAGCGCAGTCACTGCAACAACCCCCCAGTCTCTGCCCTCCAACCTCCCCCCAGTGAAGCGGGGGATCCCTGTATGGTTTCCCCGTCTCTTACCAGCCTCTTCTGCGGCTTTTGCGGGCGGGTTTGTGGTAGAGCCCGCATGCGTTGCACAGGTAATGCCCGGTGCCGTCCTTCCTCCAGAGCGGCGTGGACATGGCCCCGCAGTTCACGCACTCCCGGCCGTCCCCGGGGAACTCCTCCAGGTAGTCTGGAAGAGACACCCAAGGAGTGCAGGTTAGGAGCCGTCCCCACTGCAGGGTCACCAGGGACTGGGCTGCCCACAAGGACCATGCAGGAGAGGGTCCCTAATCCTCTGTGCCCCACTACTCCTCTGCAAGGGATAAGTATTTGCCTGGCGGGAATTCACCTCTCTCCTGCCAAGTGTGGCACAAACCCCTTTATTCCCTCCATGCCTTAATCTGTTAATATTTTGCTTAGAAACAGAATATCCTCAATCCCCACCCCAAAGGATCCCAAATTGCTGAGAGCAGCTGGAGTCTTCCTGGGATGGGAACGGGCAGGGAGCCCATCAGCAGGAGAGCGCGGCGTTACAAATGGGGGACAAAAATGGGGCTATTTTCCCGATTTCCATTAATGCGCATTCGCGGCTGGGGAAGGCTGGGGCTGCCTGTGGAGCAGCTGCGGGCACCCGGCGGTCCCCTGGGGAGCATCAGCGGCTGCCCCCGGCCCCAAACCGTCGCTAGCGAGGCTTTTCCTCACTTTTCTTCCCCTCCGAAATCCCCAGGAAGAAGCCGCGGAGCCGCCTGCCCCGAGCACCGGCTCCAGTCCGCGTCTGC